AGGAAAAGAGGAAAACGCTTAGGTTAAGGGCTCACTCACCTTCGGCTGTGCTAAGGGAATGAGAGACTAAGCGCGGAGAGGAGAGTATGAGGCGAGAGAGCGCTACAGATGAGAGAGCGCCAGACAACAGCCTGATAAGAGAAAAAAATCTGCAGCTTCAGCAGCTTACTTTGCAAGGCCCAAGCGCTCTTGTCGGTTGGTTTCCGTGCACGGGAACGCCACATTTGTGATTGTCCTCTAGGGGTCTATACTACAGACCGAAGGGAAGCGTTCACACGACCTCTGCCTGGGTTGTGCCTTCAAAGGAAGATGCTGCAGTGAACTGGAGTTCGAGGAACGGGAAATATAACTACTCCAAGGAAGGCTGGTCCCGTAAGTAAGCCCAATCAGGGACGTTTTGGTGCGAAAGGTGCGCCCGTACAGGCTCACTGGGGCCTTATCCACTTCGGTAAACCGCTATCCAAGCCCACCGAGCCACCTTATGTTAGCTGTCAGTCCCTCGCCGTCAGAATCTAGCCGTCGGAGCACATCGTTCACGTTGATGGCGTCAGCACCGATGAGACTAGCCCAATGCGGAAATCAATGTGAAAAACAAGGCCCCGTTGAGGGCGTCTCGGCATTTCCCTTTTTTCAGTTGTGCACCCCTCAGCAACTCTACTTTTATTCCCAGAGTGCAAAAAATTCACCACCATCCTACTCATTCATACCGTATCATTTGGGTGTATGACTTTCTCGCGGAGCTACGTCACAAAGCGGCATTATAATGTTTGGTAAATTGTGATGTGGGCGGAGGTGCTGTAGTGGCACGTGTTGTCTACCACCTCGCGACGTCACGGGGATCAGCCAGCTTGCATCTCGCTCAGGACAACCAAGCTCCCACAAGCTCCGGGGTTGGTTGATTGGTAAGTGTTCTCTAGGTTCTACACTGGCTTATACATCACCTGCTTACCATAAGTGACGGCCTCAAAGGAGTGGGCCAAACCTCATTCAAGTGTCGCAACGATTTCGAATGAGTAGCATGTGCATGGCGCATCCCATGAAAGGATTGGTCAAGGCTAAATGCTTCGCCTTTCTTTTGTCTTAATGTGGATCTCTAGAGGATACGGGCAGTGACCAGATGTGACCCAACCACAGACCAACGTACGATGAATAATTCGATACCCAAATTTCAACCGACCTTGTGCCAAGCCAATCCAGCCAAGGATTCCATTTTGCGAGGCTAAATCCTGCGAGAAATGAGAATTTTACGAAATCCTTAGTCACAGCGGGTTTCTTTGAAACACCGACTTAAGCTAGTCGCCTTAAAATTCATTTGAAACCATGAAAATTCATCAACATATGTTCACAGGTGTCAACTCCGAAAGCAAATAAAGGATCAAAGGGCTTTCTTATGCGTCCGCCCAGCGGTCCTAAAACGATTGCCACCTCACTACCGTATTGTGTGGGCGTGGTTAAATCGCATGCCTGCGGCTCTCCCAAATTTTCCGATTTCATTTCCAGCTTTGCCTCTTTGTTTGATCGATCGTACTGTGTTAGTTTCTTCTCTTCTGTATTTGGCCACACCTCGATTGAGGTGAAGTTGAAACAGGTGGTCTTTTTCGCCTCCTGGTACGAGACGGTCGTTCGCAATCGATTTCGCAATGCCTGTCGGGTCTTAGTTTTTAGGCTGGCTTGTTGAGTCCTCTTTTTAACTGGTTCTCTTATTCTCTTCATTAAACTATTCGATGGGTTGCAGGTAATAAAATGGAGGGCGACAAGCGTGATCTTGCGGATCTATTGAAAGAGGGAGGTATTGGCAGTGAAGTACCGGAAATCATTGGTAAAATCCCAATGGCAGTAAAGAAACGTGTATGCGCTCTCAAGAAGGTTCAGCTAGATAGCATCGAAGTGAGTATCACGATGGGTAAAGTGAGTAGTGGATTATGGTATGTTTCCTGTTCAGGTGGAAGCCAAATTCTACGAGCGGGTTCATCAGCTTGAAAAGGAGTTCGAGACGGAATTCAACAAGCTTTATGAGCAGGTATCATTTTTTTCTGGTCGTATGAGTTTCTTTAAGTGCTGTCGTTGTTTCCAGCGAAGAAAGATTGTCGCTGGGGAGTACGAACCTACTGATGAAGAATCCAAGCTCCCTATCATTCATGGCTTGGAGGAGGACGAAATTAAGGTATGTGATGTGAAGGTCTTTTAACTTATATTTACGGTAAATTGTCTAGTATTATCATACATACATTACACTTATTTATATGTTTACTTAGGGCGGAAGTGGTGTAGTGACAAGTGGCACGCTTACCACGCGAGCGGTCCGGGGATCAAATCCTGGGTCGTGAGTCGCCCGGGCCAACCAAGCCTTCCATCCCTCCGGGGTCGGTTAATTGGTACCAGACTTGTCTGGGAGGATAAAAACACTGACTTGTACATCGGCTGGCCCCCGCAAGTCATTGTATAGGCCACATCGCATTCAAACGCCACTGCGAATGTACAAATGGAAGTAGAATGCGTGCCGCATCCCAAAAAGGGATTGATCAACGGCAAATGCTTTATCCTTTATCCTTAAATGCTGGCTGGGTAAAGTCAAAAACGAGGGTTTTTTATTAGGATCTGAGAACGGCTCAACTTCTTATACTACATGTCCGGTAAATAACCTTGGGCATTGTCAGACAGCCATGTCAGCATTACGGTACAAAAGTGTGGTGAAATTGTAACTAAGGCTCGTTTTTGTTCGTGCTCGTAGTGGAGAGGAGATGAGGACGTGTTCTATTTGTTGGGACAAGTATGCTAAGTTATGAACAAAGCTGTGCCTCTGGCAGGAATCGAAACCGCAATCAAATTCGTACACATTAACATCAAGCTACATTTCTATATCCAATTATCGCTGAGCTTCAGTCCGCAGTTCCCGCTCAACGGGCAACAATCACCTTATTGCCGTGTGTCATACGTCTTGTAACACAGACCCTGGAGGAGCTGGGCCAAGGTTAAGCGGTGTCCCGGTGGTGTAATCGGTAGCACAACTGCCCGGAAAGCTAGAGATGTGGGTTTGATTATCGCCTTGGGCGAAGAGTTGTTCATAGCCCCCATGCTTGTGATAACGTTTGCATGGAGAACTGTACCCGGCCAAAAACAGCAGTTAGCAATCAAAATAGGTCATTAAAATCTGATTAATTTTGTTTGAACTAGTTTCATTTCGATAACAGTATTGATTTTATAAATTATTTTGTTCTCATACGTGCTTCATATGTTATTATCTTGCGTCAGTTACCTTTTTTAAGGCCCTCAATGATAAATCGGAACCTGATGATGGCTCAAAAGGAGTGCCATCCTTCTGGCTCCACGTTTTGAAAGCATCTGACATGACTCAGGATATGATCCAAGACCATGACGAGCCAATCTTGAAACACCTCACTGATATTACTACCACTATTGAGGTCGATCCTCACGTAAGTGAATTTCTTGTTGAGTTTCTAGTTACACGTGCGCGTCCGCTGACGACAAAAACGCGACTATCTCAATAGGCTGAACATGCGTACTGATTCACGCTCCAGTTGCTCAGTAAATGGGAGCGGTGAAAGTTTGCGTTCGTTTCCTTTTTCGCCCTGAATCGACGAGTTGTCATTTCTTCCGCTGCCGTCAAGTATTTATATTAGCTTGTCTCTGTAGAATTAGCTAGTCAACCAAGTTTCGATTCCTGTTACAGGGTTTTACCATCTATTTCCACTTCTCGCCTAATGAATACTTCACTAACACGATTCTAAAGAAAGCAGTACTTCCTTGAAATCAAGCCGGATCAGGAGGATCCCTTCAGTTTCGATGGACCATCCGTCGTACGCGCTGTTGGGTTAGTTTGTTTTCTATTCGCTGGTTGGTGTTGCTAACATGATCTTTTAGATGGCTCTTTTTACAGAGATACAATCATTGGAATGAGGGTAAAAATATCACTAAGAAGGTTGTGAAGAAGAAGCTGAAGAAGGGTAGCAACGCCGGAAAATTCGTCACGAAAACGGTACTTTTCAGCTCTATAGTTCTTGTAGGAGTTGGAGATAGCTTGACGACTTTTTACTGATTCTCAAAACCTATTTTCGCAGTCAGTCAAATTTCATCGAGTCTCGTTTAGATGAAGGCGGACAGCTTTTTCAACTTCTTCGACACAATCGTGCCACCTACGGAAGAACACAAAAACGAGGACGATGATGAAGATGTGGGTTTTTAGCTGACTTGGTTTCCTAGCCTCATAAATGTGCGCCGTCAACTCTTCTCGTGTGGGTTGTGTAGGCGAGTAAGCAAAGTTTCAAGGTCATCCGTAGTGTTCCCGTGCAGAATAACTAGATCTGTTCGATGTTTCCATCGTGCGCGCAGGGTTTGAATTCGCATGATATTTTGAATTCCGTCTGCTCTCGCACAAGATCAATGTCGGGTTTGCAACCAGTTGTTGCTATGTTGGAGCAACGACTGTACTAATTCCTGACTACATTTATCTAAACAGTTTTCATTTTAGTGCTACCTTTCACACGTTCGGTCGAGCCTTTCCCCCGTTTGGCTGCCTTACACAGCTTAAAATTCGACATTTTAGGATTCTCATGACCTGATGCGAGCTGACTTTGAATCGGACAAGTGCTTCGTGATAATATTATTCCTCGTGCGGTGCTTTTCTATACTGGTGAAGCTGATCTTGGCGATGACATGTTCGACATTGGCGAGGTATGTCTCCTTTGTTTTGCATTTCCGTCAAACTTTCCCTATCATTATTTTCGTTACAGGATGTACCCCAGAATTAGAGAGGAAGATGATGAATATGACGAGTAGGCGAGATCATATCAAAATTAACAACTATTGTCTCTGATAGACATGGTCGACGCCACCATTTGTTTTTGTTGATTGTTACGTGCCCTGTTTTCAGTTGGCCTTTGAACGTGTAATCATGGTGATTATCCACTGTTTTCTCTTTGGCTTCAACACGCCTGATTCCCGTGTTCTTGTCTATATATCTGTTTCATAAATCTTTTCAATAGATGGTTATGTCTTACTTGAATTGAATCGTTGGTTGTACGCAGCCATACTCCAATTGCTCTTGATGCTTAACACAGCGTACCTAAAGCGCAGCGTAGTGCAATATAATTGTTTAGATGTATTTAGAATTGTTTGTGTTGCACCCTAAATCTTCATTTCGGTTCACTTTTCTTTGGGAGACGGAGCATGAGAACCCTTTGTTCGTAGTTAAATTATCGCTCAATATGGTTAACAAAGCTTACTGTCCATCAGGGGTAGGGTGTAAAGAATAAAGCAGACGTTGCTTGTGGTACTGGGATAAGCGAAAGCTGGGAGATTCGTATTATTGGCACATTGGTAGAGCTCCCCAACAGCACAACAAAAACGGCTGAATTGCCTAGCCCTCGCGTTGAGCGATGCGCGTAGACCTCAATGTTGCGTTCCATGTAGGAATCGGCCAGATCGGTGAACAGTGGTCTAGCAAACCACCTATGAAGACGGCAGAGCTGTTTATTCTCGATGATATGAGCGTTTGCGACTGGCAGGATATGAATTTGTCATTGACAAGTGATTCTGGACGGGTCAATAGGAAATGTTGAATAGCCCGATCTTGGTCCGATGACACGACCCTTACGCGCTCATTTAATCTGTGGCTCGACCGTACGGCCTCGCGATTTTGGCATTTATTCATGTCACGTTCGATGCCGATCGACCACATCGAACGGGCACTGGTTTCGCGAATTGTGGAAGGGATAGGCTCACGTGTGGACAAGATGCAGTTCGAAGGTGTGGGCTTTTCATAAGTTTGCTAAATTAAATCACGGAATTAATCGTATCTTTCTCTTAGTGGTTTAACTCTTAAATTGTTCTCAGAGAGGTTAACAACGCTTAACATAGCTCTGGAGCAGAGTATCTCCCAAACTTGTTTATTTGATATCTCATTGATTCTTTTTCATGCACGTATTAAACAATGAGCGTGCGTTGTTGTGTGCCATGTGGTGGGATTGGGTAATTCGCCTGTTCTGTAGTCGGTGTTTGCTGATTTTTTGATATTTACTCACAACATGCTTTTTGGTGTTCATTCCTGCTTAAGGAAGAGGTGGTGCTCTGGGGTAGGTAGGCGGTACTCTTCTTTTCGAAGTTCTTTCTCGACCAACATGCACCTGACTTCGTTTATTCTGCTTCTATCAAAAACTTCACCTGCTTTTCTATTGAAAAACATGGAATCCCTTTGAGAAGTGACTCTCTCTTAGAGTCGTAAGCGATATCTGGTTGTATTTGTGCATAGGTAAGGGTATTGATAATTATAAGGCTTACTCAAAGAGTTTTGGTTTATGACTCCTTCATTAGGCACCCGAAAAGGATACGTATTGATTAGCCAGCTGGGCATTAGACGGTGGCGTAGGACTCCCAGAGGGTGGGATGACCCAAATCGGCACGTATTCTTCCTTGGAAGGGAAAATCAAAGTTTGGCATAATCTCTCATTGGACCTTTCGCTCAATCTGTATGTATGTGGTCTCCTCGCTTATGCAAGGGACATATTTTCCGATGTTCTCGTTTAATGCGTTACAGGCTAGGTATACAACATTAGGACTACTCTGTTTAAGTGTTGCCATTATGGCATGCTGTAGTTGGCAGTTGTAGTTTTCTAATTGGTTCCTGTTAAGTCTCCGATAATCTATTGGCTTGTTCGTGTGCCGCGTCATGCCGCATTGGCCTCACGAAATATGTGCATAACTTCCAACAGTAATCGGATTTGTTCACGAACAAGTACGCGAAACTACAATTACCACCATATAGTGTTGCTACGGATGTTGCCAGAGGAGAGTGAATGATTCAATTTTTGGTCCGCTTAATCGGGGAGAGCGAAGCAACGGGTTTTACTCAAAGGTAAGATCCGTCCTTGTAGTGGTATTACAGAATCGTATAAGTGTTGAAGGCTTACTGATTGCATCTACCATATAAGTACGTTGTTTTTTTGACCACGAATGGTAACGGATTAAGTGTGGAACAGTAATCAGGAAGTGGGAAGAGCATCAGGCTTCCTGGATTTCTATATAATTCGGCAACTGTCGGCAGTACAACGGTGAAACAAATTTCATTGTAAAAATCATCCAGTGGTGGGGTTTACATATCCATTGTGTGGAAGGCACTGCTACCTGAAAAAGCCGCACACAATCAAGTGATGTGTTTTAATCATCGAGGGAAACCTG